AAAGAATTGGATTACTTGAGAACAATGGCAAGCATTTAGCAATTGCCTTTGGGCTAAGCTATTGTAATTTGCCGATCCAGATTACATTACTTCAAGCATTTGACCTTTATATCATGTAATCACAACTTTGGACTCTGCTGCTCTACTACTCCAATTGATCGAGAACGATCTGCACAGAAATGCATATCTTAGCCGTACAAGTAAATCATTAATCTTAGTTCTCATTTCCAGGAGGCTAGAAGACAAAATATATTCCATGATAGAACATTTCCAGGAACAGGACTGCCAAATAGGCAAAGGAGTGTATCAGGTTGTTGACAAGCCCAACACTATTCTCTAAATTCAGTGTTGAATTCTGACATTCGCAAAAATCTATGATGCGATGAAGAGGATGGTAATCTTATGGCTTTCATGGGGCTGGAAACTACTGAAAATTTGACACGCCAATAGTGTTCTGAATGAAACGATGAAGATTAATCAGCAGAATACACCACTGGGAATATCACTGCTGATTCAGACGACGCAGTGACCATGAGAACGTCCACACTGGTTAACTTTGAGACATTCTGGTGCGGTTATCGTGATAATGTTTGCTCCGTATGCTCCACCGACACAATTCGAAAACCCGGTATCCATATTTCCATGTCCATGGCGAATCACTTGATCCTTCAACCTGACAATCAGTGAATCAATCGTTGGCAATTCACGAGAGTGTTCAGCAGAGCAAGCATCGTGCAGATTTCGAGGTCACTAGAAGGAGGTTCCTGAAAGACGGTGACCCGAAAATTCGGGATCACAGGGTTTGCCAGGTATACTTCCTTTGACTTCAAAGAATATTACACAATGTGTATGTGGCTATGATCTTCTATTTCACCATCTCATCACAGTATAGCACTGACTATACTTTTCAGATCTCAACCTGTCTACTTGTAATCTGATCATAATGTCATTTCCCACCATCGATAGCATGAACGGAGGCAAGGGGCGACCCCATTCCCCAGCCCTTAGTCTTTTGACTAGAATCTTACTTTAAAGTTTAGAACTTTCGGTATTCCTCAATAAACCATAATTACTGGGTGCAGAGATGCATGAGAATGTGTGACATGTAGATCTCTCCAGGAGTAGCGAAGCTGACCGCCACTTCTCCACATTCAAGAGATCGACATCAGAGACCACTTAGATCATCAATTTAAAGTTTGTTAAGTCGTTGCTCTTGATTGTTGATGTTTCTGTTTATCGTGAAGCGTTGGTCATGTTTGTATTTGAAATCAACGGAGATACTGACATCAAATATTCGTATGGCGCCTCGCGCTTGTTTAGCTCACAGTAGTGACCTGGCTAAGCCTCCAGAGTATCTGGTTGCACTTCTTGAAGATCATCATTCCACTTTAGAATCGACGAAGAATGAGAAAATGTCTAGCTACTTTAAAAGATAATAGCTAAGCGTGGCCTAAGTTATTCAAAGAAGGGACCAATGGGACCATAAAAAGTCGTTCTGCCGTTAAGCCAGCACGGCTCGGAGATTCCCGAACAAATCCGGTACTCGTGGATTTCTTATATTGTTTTTTCTCAGCCGTTTCATTTGACACTTAACTGAAAGATACATATACTCTGTGCCGTTCATAATAGCCAGAATTATATGAGGGTTCAAAAGTGGGGGACCGCAAACACTGGCATTCACCGAAAACGTGGGAAACTCCTGTACAGGGGAATCACGACACGGGTAGATCGTTATTTCTGAACGCCCTGTCTAAATTGCCGCGCTAATTGTATGTTTTTAATGACTCGTAAGTTCATGACGAAATGAAATCGTGCCGTGTAATCTATGAACTGACAGTCTCGGGCCCACTGTTCCTAGCTCTCAAGACTAGACAAACTTGAGCACATCCAGCCCTAAAATTAATGGACACTTTGGAAGTCTATCATGTTACGGTGAAAGTTACTTGATGAAGAAAGTAATCCGTTGTCAAATACTGGTAGTGTCTGATCTCGGATATGTCCTCCGAGCTATGCATAAATTCAGAAGCTAAGAAAACTAAAGGTCACTAATTAAGAGCCATGAAGTGATAGTAAACAAGCGGACGGCACTGAGATTTAATAACGAATTTTGGCAGTTTGACATAAATCTTGGCTTTGCCGGCAAAGGTTTATAATGTGAAATTGGAAATTCGGCTCGAATGGCAAGGAAATATTCAGCGATTAGAACGAAGCGATAATAACAAGTGATGCTATACGAGATTATACGAAAAGCTTGAATGCGTAGATACTGTAATCCCCACTATTTGTTGATTGATGGAGGCTTTCCGTTTGCACAGATCTGTCGAAGAGTCCAGAAGGAGCGCTGACAGGAGCTAATGAAGGGGGGGTGAGAGCTTGCACGTACTTATTTTGCTTGTGGATACCTCGAGGCTCAGAATCAGGTGAAAAATTTATGTAAGAAGCAGGACAAACTTTCAATCTTTGTGTAGATCAAGACTAGATCTTTGTTTGTCACGAAAGCATAACGCGCCGGAAGGGCGTTGTAAAAGACTATCCGAGCCGAATAATTCTCCAAGAGCAATAGTCTTTCTCAGGCTCGTCGAAAGTGATGTTATAGCCGGTGAATATCGCTACTTAAAGGTCATTGAAACTAGACAATATAGAGGGCCCAGAGCATGCATGCAAGTTGTCGGAGATGAGGATTAAGATCCTAGAATATTCTCATGTAAAGTGTGCTAAAACCTAGAATACAACTCCAGCGTGGGGTATAAACCCTGCCTGGCATTTGTTTCGTCGTCATGAAAATGGCAAGGACCAGACAGAATACTACAGCAACATTGATATTCGTCGTATACTAGAGATCCTCTGCATACTGCTCTCGAGGGGTTGCAGGTTCCATGCCAGTCTGATATATGCAGTAAGGTGATGGCGAAGTTGACCAGTCGTAGCAAAGGTAAGAAAGCAATGAAGTTCAGGGAGGTAATATAAGATATATCCCTGGTTAAAGTTGAGATAGGGAACCAATAATGATGATGATCATATGACGGTGGCAATATTGTCTTCGCATAGCGAGAGAGCTCGCTGCGCATCAATGAAACCCCATTGAAAATCGAGTTTTGGCATGCTATACTATGCAAAAGACCCTGAATGATGTAACACCATACAGTAATGATGGCGGTGCTTGAAGAGATCTAATATGCCTGGGCTTTTTTTTTCCCAGGATATTCTGGCTTTTTATTGGAATGTATCGAGATTGTCCTCGCAGCTCACACCTTAATGGGCCGAATGAAACCGGCCCCCTCATTCGGATCATCGTGCGATTCTAATCCTGGGACCGGTCTCGACTCGGATTTGAGAGAATATTTGGTTTTGATAGTATCGGGTAAATTTGCCATATACATGTTAGTATACTGAGGCTCATTGGCGCTGCGATCAGATCGTAGCCCTCAGGGTCTTATCCTCTAGAAGGGACACAGCTTTCTTTCAAATAGGATATAATTAACTTTCCAAAATAAACTTCTGATCTTGGTTAGGAAAATTAGATGAGAACCATGTCGAAGGATTATGATCGCGTGGGGACCATGGAAATCATGATTGATGACTGCAGTAACTCTTACTGAAACTCATACAGTATTGAAAAAGATGAAAAGGTTAAGATATCGCGCTGGTGTTCATTGGGTGGCACCCCTTGATTTTGCAACGTTCCTGGATATGGCATCCACGAGGCGAAGCAAACCACTACATCTTCGTAGCTATCTTGCAGGAAGTGGAAATCGACGTGTGCAGTAAGCTTTGAATGGTTGTTTATCAAAGTGAGACACTAGCTATCGGAGAGAATTTCTAGCAATCAGCTATATACCCGTTCCGAGGTATGATTTCAAAAGTCGGAACCACAAGAGCATGAGATCCCGATGAACTGGTTTTGGAACGGCGAGCTGCGTGCAAGACTGGCAGTATCTGTACCACTTACCCTAAAGGCTAGCGACAGGTAGCGAGATGTGCTGCGCCGTCTACTCGGTTTTTAGGTCCCCGAGCCGGTAACGATGTGGACTCGATGGGCCAATTCTGTTGCACATTAGATATGTAAATAGCCGGATGTTCCCAATACTGCTGGCTTCCGCTCGCTTTAGATTGGCGAAGGTGCGATAGTCTCGAGGACATCAGCTCGTGGGTAAAGTCCTGTGATTTGGTGGAACATTCTTAGGGTTACTCTGTACCGAATGTGTGATAATGCCTGATGGTGCTTTGTGCATGGCACTGAACAGGAGCGGTATTGTAAAGTTGAGGATCTTGGAACTGACCGTTGGTGAGGTTGTGGGCGATTACACAACGTAATCACAGCAGTACAAACGAAGATTACGTCCTACAGTCAATTGGGGATTGCGTACTCTGTACTGTTGTGACTTTCAGGCTTTCTTTTCCGGCTGCAAGTTCCAGGAATCCCGGAATTTCCACACGGCCATACCCGCACACCATACTGCACATACTACACTTGATCAATTGCACCTGCGCCCTCCGGATTGAATGTTGTATAGATATCATTTCCGTATGCTGGCTGAACTTGGCTGTTGGTGTATTTGTATCATAAAATTATACTCTCGTAGAAGTACAGCACAGGCAGCTTTCCGGGTAAGGGCATAGTAGATTACATAATAAGCGTCAGCATTTCCTTTTCCAGATATTCTTGCGAATTTCTGCACACAACAATTTGGTGGCGAGCTTATACAACCATGACACCAGAGCAACCAATGTTGTTGCTAGTACATACCAGGGTCCTAATTCCCTGTCAGTGGAAAGGTGCCGCTGCTGATGTGAATTAACTTCATGACTGACAGATGGAGGGGTTGCACATAGCAGTTGTGCATACAGTTGCAGATATGACATCCAATCGCAAAGCTTTGAAGCTTTCGATTGGATGGTCTAGGATGAATTAGTTAAGGGTTCTCTGATCTTGAACGTGTGAGCATATCACAATTAGCATGAAGAGACAGGTATTTTTCAGTTCTGAAGGCCGTCAGGTCTTAGAACCCGTCCGTGTAAGATAATTCCCCGATGAACCATTTGGCATGCTTTAGTTTGCATATATATGTTTCCTTTGCCAACATGCAACCATTCGAAGTTTCGTTGGATATTCCTATTCTGGAAACACCAGCGATTTCCTTGACACCCGTTGCAAAATTTGAAGTGATGACACTTTGCACTATGGAACCCATGAATCCCGCTGCCATTTGGGTAGCATCCTCGAATATCCTTGGATGTTTTTTCTTGCCGTGACACTGAGGGTTGCTTGGATCTAGGTTGTTTGAGATCTCTGGTTGTTTCACGGGTTCGAGGGGCGGCTCATGGCCCCTCCACGTTAAATTGTGGCTTAGATGCTTCGAACCAAATAAAGCACAAGATGCTGCAAGTAAGGAAATCCGGAGGACAGAAAGCATGACAAACTAACCTAAAGCACGAGAAGTCGGTTATTGTTCCATGGCAATTTGCACTTCACTGCGTTGACTTCTACTTTCCGAAAATACTGAGAGGGATCAGTACGAATTTCCAGAAACATGGTGTCTCGGAAAGACGACATTCGCAAGATTGTACAAATATTGCAATTATGGTATATTTCATCTGAACTTGCCATGACATCTCCAGCCGTAGCTAAGTATCTCTGGTATACTAGAATCATGATAAGGATGGCTGCAGTATGTTATGATCACATGTCTTACCTCCTGTAGTTCACTGTATTGATAGCAAACAGAAGAAGATTTCCAGGAAATGACTTGCCTAGTACTTTGTGTACATTCTCCAAAAATGCAAGTTATACGGCCAGGTGCAGGTACATCAAGCATGGGTATATAAATTGATAACTGCATTATAACAAACCCCACAGATCATCACGATTGAAGGGACTTTGTGTGGTATAGCCCAACACGACCATAGAAACCTCTGTAATATCATATTAATAAATCTCACAAATTAAGTGACTAGGCGAAGCGTTTGACTATGCATGCTACCCAACCATAACGACATCTATCTCGATTCGTAACGTCGATGACAATGCCGTAAGAAGGTCTTCGTATAAGTCCAGCCAGTCGTCTGGGCTGCACATCTGCTGTAGCATCAAACCTGCCAACCGGTATGTGAAAGAACTAAAGTATCCGGGCCTTACTATCTGTCGTGTCAATGCCCCAAGCCATAACCGAGCCCCACGATCTCGGAGAGCTCGGGGGTTATGTTTGAAATTTGGTGGCTAAATTTTACTACACCCTATACCCAAGAATCCCATTGAGAATTGAAAAATGCCATATTGAGATTTCCTTGCGAGAATTGTGTCACTTGTCAGATAGTTTCAAGATTGACGTTTCTCTTACATGGAGAAGAACGGATGAATCACAAACGAACTCTTACACCCAGATCCGTTTGACCTTGAGAAATTTAGACAGCGTGCCATCGAGGGTGCTTATCGGCTTCCAGCTGTTCAAGTATTTCATTTTTCATTTCAATTAGAAAAATCGTTATGGTTGGTCCCAAGCAGACGGGTCACTCGGGTCAGAGAGGAAAAACCTGCAAGATCCCATCGTTCTGCATCCTGCAAGCGTAAGCAGTAGCAATAGTGATAGGTCGCAGTACCTTATCCCAAATCCAAAGGTATATTAACTGGTGGGTATTCGGCGATTTGAATTTCCCCAAATAAATCTTTGACAATGATCTAGGCAGTTTATTTGTCAATCGCCAAAGCTTTCTCGGCTCATCAAAATGTCCCTGTTCCGTACAGCTGTCATTCTTCTCTTCGCCATTCATGCCCTAGGATCTCTTGGAAAATCATCAACTCCCGGTGTCGATCATGTCACTGGTAGAAATAAGCCAGTCAGTTTTGCCTGAACGTCGTGGCTTGCGAGGGGGGGTCGGTAGTAGTTGAAACGAATGGTGAGCTAATCAAACATCTCAAAGTTACTCCCTAGAACCCGGCAGATTACCCTTGGATGTCTTGCCCTATGTATTGCCATTTTCACAGATTCGCTCGGAAGGGGGATTTGATCTCCATGAATTCAGCTTTTAGGTCATCCACATTATGAATTCATTCTGCTGAAGCTAGTGCTGTGTCACCGCAAATTGTAGCCTCGGTCCAATCGGTCAATATATCGTAGTAGCACGATCAGAAGCAAGACATGCGTTCTCAACGAGGCATTATAGGGAATCATGGGCAAGTTTTGTATTTCGAACTTTATTGTACTTCAAATGATTTCCAGCTAAGCTTCATCGGTTTCTGGTTTGATATCTGAACATTTCTCGGTCTGCGAGATGGTTAGATAGCTCATTATCGTAACCTAAGGAAGTAGAAATCCAGGAGTAACTGAGCCCCAATATCTTCTAGACGCTGTACTAGATGTTCTGTTTCAACGTCAATGATGCTGTATGATGCGTCGGGATATCTCTGGTTTACCATTCCCTATATATAACAACAAACTTAAAGTTTTATCAAAATTCATTTATGTGAGATATCGAATTATAGTATCTTTTCTCGTAAACTTTCTAATTGTGGATTTCATAGATTAATGACTTTAGAGACGTGTTACCAGCCCTGCTAGTTACAGTGCGGAATGGCTACCTAACCCCAAATCATAAATTAACCTCCCCATTAGAGGGCCTGGTAGGTATTCCCGTAACTATAACTCATTATGGTCTAGAACCGCGTGCTTTTAATTTTAGCCATCAAAATTTTCAGCAAATCATTCACCGTTCACCGTGATTCAAGTAGTAATGCCTAGCTGTATGTGAAAATTCTAATGTCTTTTTTGGTAATGATCTCTCCCCTCCTTCCATCCATGCAGAGTCGAAGTTTCCGTTCGGGGTAGGGCAAACTAGACTAGACGGATTCTCCAAAAGACTTTCGAAAGGTTGACAACAGATACATTAATCAGAGAAAAAAGTGGTGAAAAAAGTGGTCAGCCACAGAGGGATCCTTACAGATATTACATTTTTAAAGTCGTATTCTGATATGTGGGCAGACAGGAGGGGAAACACACAAGACAAGGCTGATCCCAGAAAGCATGAATAGATTGTTCAAGAATCAATGCACATACCAACAATCGACAGAGAGAAAGAGGAGCACGGTGAGCACCTACCAGCAGACTGACCAGGAAGGAACTCCACCTATGACCATCGACCATCAAACCTGCCAAATTGAACATCATCTCGATACAAGTCTCCATCCATCAGCTATCACCGAATGTCCCTTAACCTTTGCGGCTAAGCAATAATGGGTAAGAAATCTATCTGACCCATAAACCTTCTTACTCAACTAGGACACAATATCAACGGATGCTGGGACATCTAAAAACTAAAACAAAAACTCCTCATGAGTTTGTTTGTGTATGATACTAACTAATAAACACTCGATCAAATGGCAAGTCTTCCTTCAATTGTCAATTGTCACCTTGACCTTCATCATTCGTTCGGTAAGGTGCAGCAAAGTTGCAGGTTTGGAACATTCCCCTGCTCGGTATTGAATAACATGGAATGTTTCCACCGGGAAATATAGCGGCTGCAGAGCTGCACGGTTGAAGAGCGTAAGTGTAAAAAAGACCCCGGCATCGTGACGCTGGCACTTGACTTAGAACCTAGCTCGTGGGATGCAGCTCCTCCATTGCAGCGAACACGATCTCTGTATCTCACCCTTCTTCTTCTTCTTCAAAAGTACATACCAGATAGAGTCTACCACACAAAACTTCAGTCCTACATGATGTCAAGGGTTCCTTAGCTCTCATTCCATTACTCGCAACTCATACACCTGGAACCTTTTTGGAACTATCCAGGGGAAACGCCACACTAGACACCTACTGAGTTATAACCGTTCTTATTCTTTCTTTTGGATTGACGCAAGCAGATTCCATGTAGCATCATCGACGAGGCTATCCTAACCTCACCTACCCCCTTCTTTACCAAAGCACAAACCTCGGACGGACATTAGCTCCACCTCTGACACTGCGGTATTCTCTTGTGGGAAACACCCCTGACACTTTGATCCTGTCCTCCCATCCTCTTAGCCTTCTATGGAAATCCCATTTCGGCAGCTGTGCAGCGGCCCGTTGATCTACCTTCCTTCTTCAACTAATCTATTATACTTAAGAGTCTTCAGTCCTCACTCCATTTTTTTCAAAAGTCAAAATATGTTTTATATCAACTCGAGCTAAAGTGGGATTACTATTTATCACAACGCACACACCAAATCTACATACGGTTCATTGCAAGAACTCTATTTCGGTTCTTTCCCTTTTTCACCAATATCGCCATCAAATATTCCTAGTTGAATCTCAGAATTGCAAGAGTAACGTCACCAGTCGTTATAGTCTAATCCGAGGCCAGCTTTCGGGAACCATTCGAGTTACCATTAGAACATAATAGATTTGCATCTAAGGAAAATACCCATAAAACTTATCGTTCTGGAAGCACTATTGTTTACGAAACTGTTATTTGGGTTTGATTCTGCCACTTACAGTAGTCGATCTAGTCTTGGTCCTTGTCTTGGTAAGTCATCAAACTAGGCAGTTGCAGCTTTCGAATTCTTTAGTTTGAACTTTGAGAGTTTGGACATCTTGGTATAAATCTTGGAATCGGCAATTATTTACAATTAAATCATCCTTCACACTTTTATTTCATACTTCAACCATTAATGTCATCGGGTTATACTCTCACTAATATCATATAAGAATAACCAATACCGCTCTCTATATATCTTTCTTCTTTCCACAGAGCCATATCGGGCAACCACTTTGAAATGAACTTTCACACACCAGAACAATCTTACACGCAAGATACCAACCCACGGGATACACATTCCACCATGGCTTTACTACAGAGGCCTCATGTATTTTCTGGCTCGGATTGGCGTGGCCTTGAACCTGTAGAGATGAGGTCAAAACCACGCATGGCCAATGGTGGGGAATCACTTCCATCTATTCGAACAGTAAGTGAATCTTCTCGCTTGCCTTTCAGGACAGTACTGACCTCCAACTAGATGTTTGCTGGATTTGAGAGCCAGGAAAGACCTATTGAATCCGAGTACAGACATGCTACATCATTTTCTCCCATCAAAACAGAAAGAAACACATCTCCTGGGTCAAACAAGAGAATGAGATTATCAGACGATTACTACGACGAGGAAAGCCAACAGCAACGGGAGAGATATCAGTCAGTCAGCAGTGGGCGAAGCCCAATGACAGCGACCTACGGTTACCACAGTGCAAACTCTTCGCCAGTTTCCTCGAATGCTCGTCGGGAGTCCAGAGTTCATTCTAGTCATGGGAGTCCTTATATTTCAAGGTCTGGACGAGAGCCACCCATTCTCTCAATTCCAGAACGCAGAGCCCAAAATCAAGATCACCACACTTCGAGACCACCATTCCATTCTCCCATCTCTGAGCCATCGAGTACGATATACCGCCCAAGCCTTCCAAGCATTACCACACCCGACCGATCCTACGAACGAACGTACTCTCAAAATCCCGCAGAACGATCACATGGCGAATACCCTCCCATAAATGAGTACCCGAGAAACGAGTATGCATTGGAGGCTTCCCGCTCATACCATCAACAAAAATACGCTCCTTCACGATCCGACTACGGTTACCACCAACCCCGAGACCAAGGTTATCCCCAACCTGCAAATTTCCCTCACCACCCAAGCCAAACCCCATTCACCAACAGACACCACGCAGGAAGCTACAATCAATCTCCCTACCAAGCCCAAGAAATGGGCGACTCAAAACCCCGCAAGCGTCGCGGAAACCTCCCAAAATCCACCACAGACATCCTCACAACCTGGTTCATCAACCACCTCGAACATCCATACCCAAACGAAGAAGAAAAGCAATTATTGATGAGACAAACGGGCCTACAATTGAGTGAGTAGCCATCTAACCCCCAATCCTTCTCCTACACATCATACTAACAAAGCACCCAGACCAAATCTCCAACTGGTTCATCAACGCCCGTCGTCGTAAATTGCCCGCTCTTCAAAACAGCGCTCGTGCAGAAAACGCTGCCCGGTCGCATCACAACCGAATGCACTCTGCAGATGGGGGACAGAGTCCCATGAGTCTCTGCAACAGCGAGCCAGGACTAAGTCCCAGAGCCGCATCTGCTTTTAACGAAGGATGGCCTTCGCGCCAGGAAGAGCGTCACAGCCAAGAACATTATTAATAATTTTCTCTTCGTTTCTTAACTTTATTCTATTTTGCAGCATTGAAGGCGCACTTTTTTTTTCTGTAACGACCATGACTTTTCAAGCGAAGGACCTACCTAGCAAGGCAGAAGTTGTGTTCGGTTTTTGTTCTTAATTTCAGTTTTTTATTTATTTTATGTTTGCACTTGTATAGCATTAATTCTACGACTTCTCTTGTTAAATTAGATTTTGGATTTGGGGGGGTTTTCATGCTTCTCACAAGTGAAAGGGAAGACAACCACACTGAGCATCACATGGATATGTATGACAACATGGGTATATTGGATTTGGGATGGACAGCAACAGATACCATATTTGTACATTTGGGTTATTCGATGAAACCGAATTCGCATGAGCACAGCGGAGTCGGATCACAGACTATCAGTCTGGTGTAGAATCACACGCAAGCATCATTGTTAATGTTTTTTTAATTCTTACTATATTTTCGCTTCTTATAATGAATATCTATCTACATATCACACTTATTAAATCAAGTATTTGTATTGTACATTGTACTGAAAGCACGCACGCACGCACACACACACATTGAGCCCCCAGGAAATTTGCCTTGGGGTGAAAATCTCTCGTGCCGTGCGTCCACTTTCAATCACGCATGCATACCCACATTGATCGCTCACTTGTTCGCTCAATCTATTCCTTGTTAGATTTTTCTTAGTAATCTATTCGGGTAAACATTCACGTTCGCATATATTTATATCCGTATTCCGCTTTTCAACGTTGCACAACTTTATGCCCACTTTCCACGTTTCCGCTTTCAAAGTCAATCACTTCGTCGCACTTAGGCAACCTTCAAACATTCCTCTACTCACCGGTATTCGTGGTATTCGTCCTCTCCGCTGTTAATTCCTAAGGATCAGGGGGTAGTAGAATGTCCTATGTACTGTTGCGTGGTTGTGGTATAGTACATGTTGTGTTGTCTCAGATTCAAATCTGCAACACCCCACCCGCATGGAAGCCACATAGAAGAGGAAGAATCAGAAAAAAAAATACAATACGTCATTGAAGTCTTGCAGTCAGACATCAATACATTTGGATCATTGTCATTTGAGTTTTCTATACGAGCCCTTCGCTAACATGTGATGTCTAGGCCTCAAATGTGGGTACTTTGCTAATTGTTCGCTCACGGCATATAAGTACAATTATACATTACTAGCACCGAGCATCAAGATGCGAAAGCCAGGAAATTCTCCGACTGCAAGGGCTGGCTGAGCTTATTTTTTATATATAGATACCATTCATATCATTGCAAAAGCCCTCGCTGCATGAGGATTTTCATATGGCAGTGCTTTGTTGAAATGTGCAAAAAATGGGGCCTAACTCTGAAGAAGATTGTCCTAAAGAATTAACCAAAACCTGACTTGACATGACATGACAAAAAAGAAAAGTTAACAAACGCCATTTTCATCATCGTACCAACCACTAGGAAAAGAAAAGGCGCCATTAAAAGCGCTTGGCAGACTGACAGACATCACTATTTGTCATTGAGTAGCTACTCAGTTACAAAATCACAGTACCTGAAAAGCCACTGTCAGAATTTTTTAGTACAGGATAGCGTATACTTATTGTGCGCAAATCCACTGAAATGCTATTCGACAATCTTCTCTTAACCTTCTATCAATCGATAGTCTCTGTTTTGAGTTTGAGATGGATGTCGTAGAATGACTAGAGTTATCTAGATGCAGAGAGGGTCAAAGCCCACACGCATTTCATGAGCTAGACACCGTGATTTATTTCCGCGTAGGGTTAGGAAAAGGACAAGCTTCGGTACTGAGGGTCAAAATGATTGGCAACCTGTCATTTGGTGACTTTAATTAACTACCGGTGTGTCGAGTGTGTCAGTCAATTTCCGATGGCAAAAAATCAGACCACATTGGTCGTAGTAAATTGTCAAAGTGTTCGGTAAGTTGGATGCATGGCGAGATATAGTGTAAGTAGAATTTCTGGGGTCAAGAATGAGTCACATGAAATAGTCATTGGCAGATGAGTAGAATTGAAAAGCAATAAGATCATGAGACAACAATGAGTTAACGATAATCAACGTGAGGTACTGTAATTGCGAAAACCATGTTTATTAATTGAGAAGTTGTGATTCGGTTGAGAAGATGCTGGGACTATTTTAGTTCGTGATATAAGCGAATACTATTTTCAACTATTTTCACTAGTGCTATATCAACAATGGCGGAGCGGAATAATCCCATGGGGGAGAGAGGGTCTCCTCGCCGAACGTTTACGATCAACTTGAGCTTTCCCTTAAATTTCCCAGATTATGCGGCCAAGAAACGTTCGATACGATACCCCTAAAGAAACATATATCGAGATTCAAGATGAAGAATATCTCGCACTGTCTGATTCCATGCCGCCTTGAACTGCTTTGACATGTTAAGGAAAACATTTGGCAGATCCCAACTCTATTTTCTGATATCTCCGGCAACATCTCCGGTGACAGTTGGTACGATGCATGCCACGGACAGTCACTTGACATTTCTACTCCACGAACATTTTCTTTTTTGCCTATTTTCACCAACCAAGCCTTAGTTGAGAACCCGGAGCTTAATACTGTCGAGAGTCGGGACTTGATGTAGATCACTCGACTAAGTACTAATTAGGATATTCCATATCCGCTAGTGTGTACTATTTTTTGTTTCAAAACCAGCATGACCATGACACTACATGGTGAACTTGCTACTGATTTTAGTCAAAAAAAAAAAGGTTACGTCCTCTTAGTAAATAGCGAAGCCCGAACATGCCAAGGATACAGACCGCCGCCATTGATGTCAATGGTACTCAATTGAATCATCCACGGTCAATAAACAATGATGTTGCAACGCTGATGAAAAAAAATTCTTAGTGCCTGCCCCTTACTAGGTATTAGCTAATGGCATCTATTTTGCCATAGTAGTAGCACGGTGAAATATCGAGATTCGCCCTGTCCGCAAGAGCACTAGCAAATGGGGGTGCAGTAGACAAGTATGCACGCTACTGGCACACGGCCAGAATCTAAGACGGGGATTCAAAGCCTAAGTATCAAGACCCCGATTGAGGATTCGATTCAATGGGTACATGCTGGTGAGTTGTTGTTTGTCCATCAATGTGCAGAACAAAAAGAGAAGAAGAAAGGAAGAGAATTGTTTTTTGGAGCGAACGAAATAAGCTTTTTCTCAAATTGTAAGTCCCCTGCGCACATCAATCTTGTCAAAATCGTATCAATCCCGATTTCCGACCAACCAATCAACCAAAGTGGAAGATCGCCCGAAGACCCACTGGGATAATCAAGGGTCACCCGTCAAACAACGCCCTATCTCGTCTCGAATATCACTTGTTCAGTGGCCATCACACAGACACGCAAGTGCACACGCCGCCTTTGTCCGTTACAACATGCAACTCGTATGATTTTGGTGGGAGAAAAAAGGTAATTTGGATCTGTGTCCGCCTCACAAGGCCCCAACAAGGGCTGGCAATTATGAGATGATCCTTTTGGGATATGGCTGCCACCACACGGGTCAAATTGGTCGGATCCACGAAGTGAAGTCCTGTGCCGCAATCCGGATCGTCTCTTAACACTATGTTGATCGTGTTTGTACGTCGGGCACCGATGAATGTGATGGTGGTGTTCATTTGCATGATAATGAATGCCCTCTTACCGACTTGAAGGTCCGGGTGTCTTTCTCCACCCACCGGCGGGAGCTGTGCTCCAATGAAATCAGGATTTTCAGGATCTTCCATAGATGATCTACTGTGGTTAAGAAATTCTTGTCAAAGGTGTTCACAGTGTTCACATTCACTGATGTGAATATTGAAGGGGATGATGTTTCAAATCATGGAGTGAACTTGCGCTTATCGCCGATTGGCTGAAGGGCAAACCTCGGACAGTATCAGCATTATGCTGGGGAAAAGGGATAGCCTTGTTTGTATGCAAGTAATGAAAACACATGAGAAATGATCTAGAACGAGAAAAAGCAATTGTTTTTGGTTTCTGTGAGTGTTTTGTTTTTGGAGGGGAGAGGGGGGGGAGGGGGCAATGGACATTGGGCAATTGGACGAGTAAAGAAGTATTCCCTCATCAGATCCGCTATCCACGTGTGAACGAAAAAGCAACAATAAATCATGATATAATTGTGTAACATTCCCGCCCGAACGCACTGATGAAGTGCATGAAGATATATATTACGCTTTTCGGGATGATAGTGCCAAAATATGTCCGCCTCAAGTGAAGAATTCCACTCGGCGCGACGGCTCAAGTGGACATCGAATGAACTTGGAAGTCCCAAGTCAAGACGTGCGGCAGTGCACATCGTGGTAATTTGCAGCAATCCTAGGTGTCTGGACCAGGTATATCAGAATCATCAATTCGAGTGAAACTAGGTCTTCATGGAATATAAAACTAGAGAGACCGCGTTCAAGAGCTGGTATAAGTGAAAGATGCTGTACTTTGTTTGAAACATGTGTTTGCGAAAAGGCGAGAAATGGAATGCTTGGAAGAAACTGGGCAACAGTCAGTAATACTCATGAAGCGTACACTTTTTATGAAACGACCATTGAATCCATAAGGGGGAGATAATGAATAAAGGTTCATCCTACCAAGTAGCAGCAGGGAACATAGATTTCTTCCAAACAAAACATCCATTAACTGGAGTGTTTATGCCGTTCGCAGGGTTGGGGAAGTGGCAATTAATTCGACATGAGTCGAACAAGCTTATACTGTCATGGTTATGGCCGGCTTTGTAGGAAGGAGTTTGCTGGTTGAGTTTTATGTCAGTTGAGAGTGGAAAGAGCAGAAATACTTTGTATGAGTGGACGGGTGTCATTGGATACAAGCGATCAAAATACTGCACTGATTTTTGGAACCCACTAATAATTCTTCCAGTGAAGGTTATACGTGCGGATGTAAAAGATGTTTCGTAAAAAGAGCTTGGGAAGACCTCAACATGTATCCGTTCAAAATTCGGCCTCTAATCCCCAGATTCTCAACCTGGAAACCCATCATATACAATTCCTTCCTCTTTTGATGAAACGATAAGTTCTCGTCTTATTATCTACCTAATGAATGCAAACCCTCAAGAAAGTGCAAAAGAATAGCTGTAGAAACTACATACAAACTTCACTTCACTTCACTCCCATTAAACCTTATTTTCACACCCTTAAACTTTATTTACATCATCCACTCGACGATCCTCCTCTATCGTCCTCACCATAGTCCCCCCTCCTCCTGGCATCCCTAAACAGACCCTCTCGTTACACATCCAATCCACCGCAAGTTGCCCATCCACAATACTTATTCTCTCTCTCTCTCCCTCTCTCTCTCGTCTCGACCCCCCACCTTTTTGAGGGCGTTACTCGTGATATAATCCTGCAGTCCATGGCCCTCAGCATACAAGAAAACGATTAACAGGAGCACGAAAATGAGATTCGAGAACAGAGAAAGAGATACTGTTTCAGTATCTGGATATAACTGAAGGGTGATACCACTCACTGCTCCCCAACAAAACCTACACCCATCCAGAGGAAATAGTGTCTCGTAGCTCGAGACTCAAGTGGAGAATTCTCAAACGAGGGTTCCTCAACAAATTGCGCTCCCAACATCCGTTCAATTATCACTTCAACAATACTATATTCGGAAACGCTCGCCTCATCATATTACATACATTACCCTCCTCAACAGAATCAACAAACCCAATCAACAAATCCAGAATTTCTTCCCTCTCCCTCACCACTCTAATCCTCAAGCAAACCAACCCTCTTATTGCACATCTAATCCACCCCGATATCATAAATCTAATAATACTATATTCGGAACCTCTCATCCCATCACATCACACCCTCAAACCTCAGCTCCCCAACAATATCAATAAATCACAAATCTAACAAGTCCAACAAGTCCATCCAACAAACCCAACAAATCAAGAATTCCTCCCCTCTTCCCTCTCACTTTCCCCCCTCTCATTCACTCTCCTCCCTAGTATCTCACCCCTTTCAACCCCCAGCCCCCACCCATTTTGCTCCCCTCCCCTCCCTTTCGATCCTCTTCCCCACCAACACCGAGGAACCCCTCAGCTCACCCTTCTCACCCTTCTTATCCACTCCATTCATCCACCCCCAACAATACTCACCCCCCTCTCACTCCCCTCCCCATCCTCACAATCTCCTTCTCTCCTCACATATCTTCCATCTAATCTCCCTCCCAATCACAGCCTACTTCTCATTCACTCTTTCCCTTCCCCCGTACCTTCCCTCTCCATCACACACATACATACCACACACCTCCTTTATCCCTTTCATTTACTTCATTCGCCATTCACCATTCACCATTCACCTCATTTCCCTTATCCTCCCCATCATTTTCCCCCTCCCTCCCCCGTCCTACATTCTATCTCCCCTCCCCTCCCTCAACACCACACTCACCATCAAACTAAACCAAATCAACAAATCAACCACACCCCTCCATTTACACTTCCCTCCTCGGCCCCACTTACCCACTCTCTCTAATCCCATCTCTCCCTCCCAAGAAACTGCAAACCCAACACTCAGACACCCCTCCTCCCCAATATCCTATGCCGCCTCGAGCCCTACTCTCACTCCGGGAACTAGTCCGCTCCCTAAATTGTAACGATAGAGTTGATTAACGGAGTAATATTGTATCTTCATAAGATCAAATCCACATTCACCACCTTAAACCTCCACTCTATTCCTAGTTATATAGCAAAGCTCCAATCAACTTCAATTCAAGAAGTTATTCAGTCACATTTTAAGTCTCTCAATATCGCCATCGCTAGTGAGAAAACAATCAGTTATAATCATGGTATATCTTCATTCATTCTAGTCTATCCATGTCACAATCTTCTTTCCTGAATATGTGCAGATTTAAAGGACAAACTACCTCCACCACCTCTAACTTATCAACCCATTCATCCCTTCATTCATCCAATCCATCCATCCAAACACCAAAGAACTATACAACTCAGAAGGAAGAAGATCCGAATTCTTTCTATCCATCGTAAGACTTTACAAAACACCCTACTCCATCATCCAGACTAACGCCATCCCCTAATTCCGCTCAAAATCAATTGAAATTGAGCACTTGTCCCATATTTCCTAGTAGTGATCCTATATTAAGGATTCGACAATGAAACGCCATAAAAACACAAACGCAAACATTAATGGTATCTTTTGCAATCATAATGTCTTCACGCTAAACATTTACTAATCTCGGACTTTTGTCGACTTCTTCGCTGTGCCAATATGTGTGTTGTGAACCTAGTATTGTTGTTAGTATTGAGTGATGTTGTTATAATCTGTAGAAGCTTACCTTTGTTGCGAACTTCAAACTCGTCAATGTTTCCCCCAAATGAGCTTCCAATGGACTAGCCATGACGAACATGAGAGTCTTCGAATTTCCTCCGAGGGAATATTGTAGAAGATAAGTCAATTTGGAATTGCGGTAGGGAATATGGGCACCCTCCTTTCCAGATCCCAATGCCCCGATAACGTCACCAAGACAGCTCAGACTCTTGTTAATATTTTGAGTTTCCTTCATTCGGTCTCCTTCGGCACCAGACACCTTCAATCTTTCGGAACCGGCCAAATCAACCAAGTTGAGGGTACCTTCGCAAGTCTCATTTGTAGAACTGTTTCGCCCAACAAGCTTCAAGATAAAGACAGAGTGTGATCTTGATGATCGTTCGTTGGATTTGGTGGCAGCAACACTACGATTCTTGTCCGCCTTCTTAAGAATTGCTTCTACCGCGTTGGGTGAATCCAAAAGCACAGTCTCCAATCCAGTAACAGTGGTTTGCTTCTTCTTGTCGTCATGTCGAACCTCGTGCTTCTTCTTGTCAAGGTCTCTAGAGTTTCCCAGTAGATCATGAATTTCTTCGTTGTAGACTTCAACAAAGCTACCTTCCATCGTATAAGTCCATCCTTTCTCCTTGAGAGCTTCGGCGGACTCATAGATTTGATGAGTGGCACGAGGAATCATACCATCAGCAGATGACATGGTATGTGTCTTTCCAGCACCTGTTTGTCCATAAGCAAAGATGCAAACGTTGTATCCATCCAAAGCACTTTGAACTAGTTGCGAAATCTCCTCGAAAACCTCTTGATTTTGACTTGATGGTCCAAAAACCCTGTCGAAGGAGAATGCGTGAGTTTCAATCGAGACTTTTCCAAAGTTGCTCCTCTTCTCCTTTCCAATGATTGATAGCTCCTTTGACTCCTTGTCGGTGTCAGGAAATAGGATCTTTGCGCATTCACCCTCTGCACCTTCTTTGAAAGTTGGTCGAACTCTGCACATGACCCGAATATTTCCTTTCAACTCTTGAACTTGGTTGAAGAGAATGCGACGAAGAGTCTCCTCCTTAATCAACTTCTGTTTGGATTCCTCTGCGGAATTAAGAGCTTCCTGGAGTCGGCCTTCCATCTCAACAAAACTATCAGATTGGGCTTTGCTTCCAGACTCCAAGAAATGAATTCTTGCGCGAAGGCTGGCGACTGTACTTTCGAGTGTTCCAATCGTTGCTGATGTCTCAACACCTGTCTTTTGCATGGTTTGCTGAACTTCCTTGATGGTGTTTAGAGCATTCTCCTTCAACTCTTTCTCTCGATCGATACTAATCTTCAATTCTTCAAGCTCTGTTTTCAAGATTTGAAGTTCTTGCTCCTTCATCTGCAACGCAAGGTTCAAACCCTGGTGACCCGTAGTGACTTGGCTTTCAAGCTCCTGGACCTCACGTAATCTTCGGCTTCTCTCTTCCTCCAATTTCGCATCGCTTTGTCGTTCGAGACTTCGGATTCGGTCTTCAAGTTCGACAGCTGATTTTCGTTCGAGCTCGAGCATATCGTTTCTGTGAGTACGAAGAACTCGGTCAAGCTCATCTATGTTGTCACGTCTCATTTTATCTGTCTCGTTGCGATGGTTTCGATTTACGTCGTCCATCTCAAGACGGTGCGCTCGAATGTTGTCATCCAAGGCATTTGTGGCTTCAATCAGTTTCTGCTGAATCACACTTAGTCTCTGGGTCGTATCATCTAAGTTAGTTTGCAAGGTCTGGTTGGAAGACGAAAGATGTGTCTTGAGGCCTTCAAGTTCATCGACTACATTGGAACGGATTAGTCATAATTCAGTGAGAGAGCTCCAAAATGCTACTTACGTTTAGTTTTGTATTCACTGACTGCATTTCTAAGTGCGTCGTGGTCCTTGCCTGTGCCGTCGACTGTTGATGCGAGCCTGGCATACATTGCTTCCATGGATTCGAGGCGACTACGTACATCAAAGGCTACTCCGGAAACATTAGAATCTTTTGTTAAACATGGTTTTTTTGCAGGGGAAAATTTGGAAGATTTGCAAGGAGTCATGGGTGTAGAATTGAAATATTCCGACTTAGCAAGGACAGGAATATGAGAGGGCGTCTTCGGAGCTACTGAGCTATGAACCGGTGCCTGATATAGAACAAGTGCGGCTTCTTCATTGTCTACTCTCAAATTCCGGGATCCTACGCTTTGGGAAAACTTGTGTCGAAGACGGGGGTCCTTCCTTGGAGTTGAATTCAAGTTGTGTCCCGTGGTTGGATCAGTCTGCTCATCATTGATCTGGAGCCTACTTAATGCCGTACTAACGGATAGATCTCTTAGGCTGTCCTGGGAGTGAGATCTCAATGAGTTGGATGAACGATGACCGCGGACTTTCATAACTTCCAACTCGGTATTCCCATTCAATTGTTGGGAAGGTGTAAAAGCAGGTACTGGGATCATGGGCTTTCGTCTTCCTCCAGGGGGTGGCATACCGTCATCATCTGAAGAGGTGCTTGATGCATTGGTTCGACCTTTAGATTGGGATGTATTGGGCCTTGAAGTTGTGGATTGACTGTAGGATGGTGGGCGTGAGCCATAAGCAGACTTTGGTCGTCCGGGTCCAACACTTTGAGAGAAGCTGCTGCTTGATGTGTGACGCGAAGATACTGATGGTGTCCGGGATGACATTGATGAAGCTGAGGTTGTTCGTGGTTGAGTGAAATTATTCTTTATCTATGATCTGTCAACGAACAAATCCGATGGGCGCAGAAAATGCGACTTACATCAACAATGGAAGTTCCTCTGACAGATGGCTTGCGGACAGAAGGTGTTCGAGCCATTGTAGTAACAGGTTCTCCTGCTCTTTCAGCAAGAGTCTTGCGTTTGGGTGCTGGTTCGTTGCTCGACTTATCATTTTGGCGCTTCAAGGTTGTAGGTTGTGGCATCTTTGATGGGAGTCGTGATCGAACGTTGCCATGAGAGTCTGACATTTCTGCAAGAGGCTTTCCAAGAGAAGGAATGGCACTGATTGTAGGTTTGGATTGTGATATGTGCGAGTACTATTGAATAAGAAAGGTTTCCTTGTTAGTATTTGATGGCACTTTTATTTGTTTACTCACTCGGAAGAGACATTGTACAGTACCTGATTTTCTTCTTGATATTCCATTATAAGAAGTAGCAAATGCTACACAATATTAGACTAAATAGAACATGCAAAGATAAAAAGAATTGAAATGGTTAACAACGCGTCCAGGTTGAGGAGCAAATGGTTGTTCTTGACGGGTGGTAAAGGTAAATTGAATACTTGAACGTTTTTGATGTATTTTCGAGTTTGATTCTGTTTACCTCAGGATCCCAGTCTCGAGTGTATCCATTTAATTTTGGTTGCTGGGGAGAACTCGGATGACTAAGAGATAACAGGTGTGGTGGTAAGGTGACGAATTTATGCACGTTTATGTTTTTTATTCCATCTGTCAATTCTTTGTGTGTAAATTTGTGCAAATTCATGTAAATCCGTGCAAAATTCACGTAAATCTATGCAAATTCATGTAAATCCATGCAAATCTAGATTAGATCATCATCCCGATATCCCTCCAGCTGTCATCCATTCATCTTCACGTGTCAAATAACCTTATTATCGTTAGTGGGCGTTTGAATTTGGATGTACCTACTACTCCATATGTGTGATGCGGAAAAAGATGTTAATTTTGCCCACCAAAGAAAGTATTTAATCCTATTGTGTTCAAACTGCTCACAACATTCTTCATATACTGAACAGTATACGGTCTGTTGTAGTAGGAATATCAACAAAGTCATGATATTATAGTATTTCGAATAGTTTTCCTTCATACAACCATCCAGCACAACCCTAGGTCTACACTGTCTCTGCCATGGAGAAATATTCACAGTTTCGCGACAGAGGTACGTACTACACCCACACAAAATCTGCTAGAAGAAGAAGGTCCCAACTAATTCACACCATCATCCAGGATCTGGTATCGCTCCGTTCTTGCCCGTTCAGACTCCAAGTGCCGGCATCTATGCCCCCGTTCATCTTTTTCTCTTCCTCTTCAAATTACCAATCTTCCTCACAGTATCCACGACTTATTTTCTCTTTCTACAATGGTTTCCCTTGGGATCGCTACTCAAGAAGGCAATATTATGGATGATACTTGGAATACCGGGAGTGTGGTGGATAGATTTGCAGATTGATGGAGTCAAGAAAGGTTCACTGGCAAAGAAACATGAAGGACGAGTACCAGAACCTTCAGATATTATCGCATCTTCCTTTACATCACCTATCGATTCTTTATATTTGGCTGCCATCTTCGATCCCATCTTCACAGTATCCTACCCACATACCCGCCAAGTTCATCAAATCTCTCTTCTCGGCGCAATCTTTCGAGCACTCCAAAGTCCCAAGGAATACCCTCCTAAGGGTTCAAAAATGACTGATTTGTCCGCCCTACTCTCTCGATATCCTGGACGTGCTATTGTAGTTTTCCCGGAATGTACAACTACAAATGGAAAAGGAATCCTCCCCGTGAGCCAAAGTCTTTTGACTGCTCCTTCAGGAACCAAAATCTTCCCAATCAGTCTCCGCTATTCGCCCTCAGATATTACGACACCTGTTCCAGGGAAATACTGGTCATTCTTCTGGAATCTTCTTTCAAAACCTACACATTGCATTAAAGTTCGAATCGCTGAGGTCGTACACAATACATCCACGTCTGAACCAGAAAAGGCCACTAAATACTTGAAGAATCAATTCGATAGCGTTAACGGGGATGCGGCGTATACAAGCAGCTTTGATACTGTCACATCTAAGAATGATCAACCAGCAGAAACAACATCAGAAGAACAACGTGTCTTGGATAAGGTTGGGGAAGCATTGGCACGATTGGGGAGAGTCAAACGTGTTGGATTGACTGTGAAGGATAAGATTGCATTTGTGGATGCATGGAATAAGAAAAGATAGTAGGCATATGAGATTGTGTTCGAGAAATATCTATGGAACAATATCATATGAAAGTTATGACTCCATGTATTGGGAGGGCAGTTTGATATTTAATGAATGTTTACAACTAATTCGCTCACTCTCTACAAATTGTTCACTTCTATTAACAATGGAGTCTTCAATCATATATAGCCACAGGTCTCGGGTATTCCATTTGTGAGGGGTGGGCAACTCACCAATTTCAATGGCATGGGACATGATGAATGCCACCTCGCATAAACCATAATGATAAATAAATCCTCAATACTGTATGGAAAATATTCGCTTATTTCTTGTCTACTTGCATCAGTCGTTTCACCTTCATTCTTCGAACCGTTCCTATCATCCATCCGCCCCCCTCCTCTCTCAAATTAACCTACCCTGACCCTATTCAATCTTCCTTCTCTTTATTCCCTTTCATCCTTTCCCTTTCTCTCTCCCCCTCAACTACTTATTTCCCCATTTCCTTTGAGCCTCTTCTCTAATTTTCAACCCACTCTCGAAAGATCAAAATCCATACTGAACTCCTAACAAAGTTTCAGAAAGTAAAATCGCCCGTCTAGCTAACCCATTATCCTACTACATACCTCCACGAAAGATATGTTATCTCCTAGGCTACCTATAACATAGCTTTCTTCCTAGCTGCTGTTATTTAGATATCGAAGTATCGAAGTGGGATATCCATGCTGGTAGCTGTCGTCGTGTATTGAGAATACTACTAGGTACATGTAAATCATAAACACCATTTTATGGTGGAATTTGTCAATGAGTAGGTTGTAGGGTGTGAGATTTGAGACGTGAGGTGTGATACTATACCTCAAACCCACATGTGCGTTCAGAGGAAATAAGCTCTGTAAATGAGGAGAGGAGAGTAGAAATTGATGGATGTTGATATAATATGACTGATGAGTGAAGTAACGAATCTCTACCCCCTACTCTCTACACTCGAATGTCTGTCCCTATCCCTCGCAAAAGCAAGCACGAACCTCAGAGCTCAAGTTGTATGTCTTTATTGATATTGCATATTTTTCGGAAGTTATAGTTTGTAGAACTTAAAAGTGTGGTTGGAGGATTGGGGTTGGCATGTATTATGTGTTTTAGGTTTGGTAGGATGTAGGATGGAATGGTTGGGGAGAGGGTGAGGAAAGTGTGGCATGTTTGGGGTACCGGTATTGGGACTTAGGACTTTAGTAGGGGGGTGAATAAGTGTTTTGGTTGTGGGGATTTTGGGGTATTGGGATTTGGGGTATCTGTCGGAGAGAACGGGAGTGAAGGAGAGGGTAATGAAGAGGAGATCAGGATTGAAGAGAAAAGGAAGAGTGAACAAAAGGAATAATAAGGCTAATATATAAAGGGAAAGGAAAGGAGTTACAGAGGGTAGGTAAAACGAGGAGATTCGAATTTTGAGAGATTGAGTGCGCGTGAAGTGATCCAGAGCGGCTTGAGAGAAGTGATTAGTGAGCACGAGAAGGAATAGGAAAATAGAAATGATAATAAGGAAAATAATATCAGTATAAGATATTTCTATATAGTGAATAGATAGATGTACATATACATTGTGGAATAGATATGTGGCGACTACTTGGTGCATGGAAATGAAGATCTGAATATGATATAAGTAGGTACTACTTAGTAGATACACTAGAATATAAATACATATATACATACATATATACTTTCACATCCCCTCACACCTCACACATATCACACTCACACCGAACCAAATTATCAAATACCCGAGAATCAAAAATCAAAAATCAAAAGAATAACCCCGCGAACTAGCGATTGGGAATCTCACTAATAGTATAGTATCAGTATCTCTCGTACCATTCAAATCTGCTGTTAGGGATCATTATACATGGAAATATTCAAAGACCTATATATTCCTCATTCATCATTCTCCATTGCCTCTCCTATCCAGTGCCCAGATTTGAAAAACTGTATCAGTCGGTGATTGAGATTGAGAATGGGCAAGAGTCTGCCTGTATGTATAGTTAGTGTTCTTAATCTAAGAGTAGGAGGAGTAGAAGAGGGAATAGAAGGGGAAGTAGCTGTAAAACCCTCCACCAGCTTTTCCCTTGACGGGCTTTAATGCTTCAATGTTTCAATGTTTCGATTATATATTGAAGAGCCTGAGAATCATAGAACGTATGGAGCGTGCGTTTACTATACTGTCATGTTACTATATTATCATATTGCCACACATTCCAATACTAAATAAATCCCTCTACTGCACCACACATACCACCAACACACAAAATCGTCTCCATGAAAAGTTATCCACAGACGGTAAAACGTAGAATAAACCATTCCAATTCTAATTCTAATTCTAATTCTAATTCTAATTCTAATTCTAATTCTAATTCTAATTCTAATTCTAATTCTAATTCCAATTCCAATTCCAATTCCAATTCCGAAAATCTCCAATCAATCTTTTAAATCGACGTTAATCCTATTCCTGAAGCAAACCCCCAAGATTCAAGATTCGGATTTCAAAATCCCCCTAACTTTTAAATTGTCGTTGAGATCCTTGATTACAGCTCGGAGTTACAGGTCAGTTGAATCGTATTATATCATACATTCTATTCCATACATCCCAAATAGCTACCTAGAGCTAATAGGGGGTGTGTGGAAATTAGCGAAGGGGATTTCATTTCCGACTTTGTAGATATAACTAGATACCTGAATCTAATGTACAACACAATACGACACCTTGATGATCATGATCAAAACTCTTGAGTATTTGAGATCTATTATTTAGTGTTTAGTATTTAGCATTCTTCGTTTATTCATTCATTATCCATTACTATATTCGATATTGTTACGGGAGCTGCCTCTAAGATCATGTGGAAGTAGCTAGAGATCTCTTGAGGTGGTTTAGATTAAACTTCAAGTAGGAATTCAATAAGGTTAATAATTGGTTGTAATTCTTGTAATTATAATAATAAAACTAATAATTGTTCTTAAGCATAAAGCTTTATATTATAATGAAACTTATTCTTTTATATAGATCTTCATTTTCTATTATATTCCTTAGAATTTTTCTATAGACTGGATCGCTACGGACCTCATTGCGCTCCAGAAGCATTACAGCTCCTTAACACTCTATCACCTACCCATAGTTATGTGACGCGGTACTTCGTAAGGACTGTCGTAACAGATATCTGATGTGTATTCAGTCAAAAACTATAATTTATATATTATCAATAAAGCTATATATTTTCAAGCAATCAAATAATTAAATTAAATAATCATAAACAATTTATGAAATAACCCTTATAAATATTAAATTAATATATATATATATATATATATTGATTCATTAGAACATATTGTTTATAATATAAAAACTAATTTTATTTCTAAAGAATTTCAATAATATACTATCTTAATAATTATTCAAATAAAAGTAATTCTTATAAAAGCTTATTTGTTGGGAGAAATCAGCAATCAACTAGCTAGCTATTTGTCTTCCATTACACATAAATCAAGCTCTGAATAGTAGATAATAGATAACAGACATTCGACACTCTCTCGATCTTCACTATTCAAATGCCAGGTTTGGTTCTGGAAGACTTGTTTTGATGTGTTTTTTTTCCTCCTCTATTTCCTTATTTGAAATCTTAGGGCTCACTACTACTAATACTACTGGATTAAATTAGATGGTCTTTTTATATACCTCACTATACTACACAATACTATTGTATTCCCTTTCATTCTATTTCATAAAAAATCAAAAAAGTCCAGTAGGTGGCCACCTACATCGTCTATACTGAAGGTCTCAATGGTATTACTATCCCTCGTGTTCTATTTCTTGGATATGATCAACCTCGCAATTAAACCCGACCCCTCAAATCAGGTTCTCATATCTTCTAGTTCCTTTCCTTTCCTTTTCCCATTTTCCATTTCCCCTCTCTTCCCTTTCCCCTTTCCTATTGCCCGTCTCCTTCCTCTCTTCTTCCTCTTTCCCTTTTTCTATTGCCCATCTCCTTCCCTCTTCCATCTCCCATTTTCTCCTCTCACTACCCCAGACTCCGGCCTTCAGACCTTCAGACCTTCAAACCTTCAAACTTTCAAACCTCCAACCCTCCAACTTTAGCCCCTCAACCCTCCGACTTCAAATCTTCAAATCTTCAAACGCACCACCTCCACACTCATTCATCCACATTCTCAACCTCATCCTCAACATATACATATATACATATACACATATACACACATATACAAATCCAAATCCACACCCTGAGACACCACCTCAAGATACCCCAAAGATATCTCCCTTCAAGATATTTCCCTCCAAGTGAAACCTAATATCTCGATTTAGATACATTACATACTATACACCATACTATACACCATACTATACACCATACTATACACCATACTATACACCATACTATACATACCATACATTACATACCTATACATCATATACACACGAAAGATTCTATATCTACAAACAACTCCAACTCCAACTCCAACTAATCCAAGCACTTAATATAATTCTATTCTCCTTCTCCTCCTCCTTCTCCTCCTCCCCCCCTCCTTTTCTAACCTCTAACCTCTAATCCCATCCCCAAAAGTCCCATCCAGTTCGAAATTCATATTCAAATTCAAACTTAAACTTACACTTAAATTCAAAATTCAAATCTACACTACACTACACTACACTATACACTCAAATATATTCACATTCACATCTACATCTTCATCACCACCTATCCATCTATAACTCTCTCTCTATTGAACCAACTACTCTACTCGACTCGACTCTATTCTACTCTACCCAGCAAACCGTCTCATACCACCCCACCCCACCCCACCCCACCCCATCACATCACATCACATCACATGCAAACCCCCTCCTGAATCCAAAATTTAGAGCCCAAACCATAATTTCCTATAAATCTATACTATAAATATTCCAAGCAATACAAGCATTATCAAATTCACAAATCCATCATTTCAAAGTAATTCAAAAACCAAACGTTCTTTCACATGTCAGAGGGGTAGAATTCTCATAAATTTTGAGTCATGGGACTGCAGCAAAGTTGTTCTATTGAACACCCTTCATCGTTTTGGTATCCTCTCTCGCCTAGGTATGCTTCCTCATAGAATCATATCTCGCTCCCTCTGCCACATGGTATCTTTTCATCAAGCTTTATTTCATGCTATTCAACATTTCGCTTTCCTGCACAATCAATGCAACCCCAATGATACCCCAGACATCCTAAATATCATCTTCCTTTCATATTCCCATTAAATCTCTCCCATTACCACAACCAGCCCTTGAGTATCCATATCTCCCTTCCTCAACGATCCAATTCCCATTTCCCTACTCCATATCCTCATCCTCATCCTCCTCATCCTCCTCACCACTCGCAAATTGATTAATTTGATTTCTTCGTCCATGAGCTGCAACTCTCTGCCATGGATATTTCAACTTGTCGGTATCATCATCACTAAATCCCATTTCATCTTCATCACTATCATCCTCGTCGAATTCCTCAAGATCTGAAGCGTTACCAGTACGATATGCATAAGCATTTCTATTGTACTCATCGTCCGAGTCGACTTCCGCATCAGGGTAATCGGCGGTGTAGTGATTCTCATCTTGAAGGGCGTGTTAGCATGCTTATTTGGAAGAAATCAAAAAGTCAAGGGGGAGCAAACCATTCTCATCTTCTTCTGCCTCATCTTCTACTTCTTCATCCGTATCCCAATCTTGATAAAACTCGTCAATATCTGATTGAGCATCGAGCACAAGAATACCAAAATTAATCTTATTGTCTTCATTCTCGATATCTTCAGCCGGGACACGAATATATGTCTCAATGATATACTCTGAATCAGTATCCACATCTCCATCAGTCTCAACTCCAGACATTTGATTGTCGTCAACTTCCATGACATTTTCCTCTGGATGACGTTCCTTATAGCGTAAAGCTGGTACTTTGGGCTTGAATCTAGTAGATGTTGATTTGCGATAAGAGGATTGTACTGGTACAGATGGTTTAGGTTCTGCTGCCTTGGATTCTGCAATACTACGACCAATTTCTTGTAGTGTATAGGCTTGCATCTGTGCTGCCAAATCATCTGTATCGAGACCCCAAGGGTTGACCAACGCAGAAGGTGGTTTTGGTTGAGGTGCAGGAATTTCCTTTGTATCTTTCGTCTCTTTTGGAGGTGCTACTTGCACTCTCGATCCTCGGCCTGGCTTTTTCTGTGGTTTTTCTTCTTGGTCTTGTTTCTGGGTAGCAACATTCTCCGATTTTATAGCAGCGTTGGCTACAGATGTCCACTTCTCCTCCTGGGTCTTTTGTCGCACGCGACGCTCAATGAACACTGTGGCATTGCGCTTTCGTACTCCAGTACTTGGGCCTGGAGAAATAGAAGGTGTTACACTTCTCGAAAGATGGAATCGTCTCTGTTGAACTGCTTTGTTCGTACTTCCGATATTTAACTGGCGCTCACTACTTGAAGGTTGTGTGCTGCTTGAAGCATGATCTACTTCATCATCTTGTCTTGTAGGAACGTTGGCAGTCGGAAGTTGGGTATTGACTTCGTGATCCTCTTTGTTGACTTCATTTATTGATTGGACAGTTCCTTCACTTTTCCCTTGTTTTTTGACAGTTAAAGACCGAGAGCTTGTGGAACGATGTAGAGGTTTGATGCGTCTTCCCGGTGGAGCTGATTGAGGAGTAGAGGGGGTAGTATCGGCTTGTGGAGTTTGTTGTCTCGAGTAAACAAAATCGGTGGTCCGACGTTGTCGTTTTGTAACGGCATCATCCACACCTATGAGGATTTGAGTTAGTAATTCTCAGCGGCGCAGAGAGATTCTATTTAGCTTACGAAGAAAATCTTGAGGTAAATCTGTGGCTTTCCTCTTGATATGAATAATTGATGGTGGCAGAGACATGATTGAATCGAATCGGGGAGACCACAACCTGGAATCAAGGGATGCTCGAGAAGGTTTCTGCGGGAGATTAAACAAAATTGCACAGTGATTATATATCACTATATCACTGTAGATAATGAGAATCTGGTATGGAATCTGTGTTTATTATAGGGTTGATCTTTGTTTGCAAATTGTGGTATGGTTGAGGTTCATACTGTAGCAAGGTCGAAGTCCTCGAGGTCTTCAGTAGTGAATTTATGATTATCGAGACACAGCCTCCGTGTGATGAAAAAAGCAGCACACCAAATCACTCAAGTAAAATCATCTAATTATAATAAAAAGTGATTAGAACGTATATATTTCAATATTTTACTATGATAAGAATTTACCTTCAAATACTGATTATGATAGATTAATAGCTGACCAATATATAAGTATTCAAGAATCAATCAATGTGAATCATGTTTCTTCGATTTGATATCGAATATTGAAAAGAGTAGTAGTATATCTTGGAGCTCCCTTCTTTTTCCTTCTTGCTGGAACGTCAGCCTCGACGAACAATATTGTTGGCCTTGCATGATGAGGCTGAGATATCACATGACATATCTACCATGATCGTCGCGCTACGGTGGTCGCTCCCGTTGGCTGTAGTAAACGAACCAATGATTAATCACACTGCTTCGAGATTGTCCAGCTTTTTCATAGCTCTATCCTTGCTTTGAGAGATCTCCCCACTTTCCAAGTCGAGCTAATGGAGGCCCGGCCTATCATAGTCAGTACTCAGTAGAGTCAGTACTCAGTTCTCCAGATCGATCTTCTCTTTGGAAGGAGATGCCCACACCCAATCTTGTATCATTTATCATTCCACACTTCACTTCACTCAACGAGTCACCACTCACGAGTCACCACCCACGAGTCACTACCCACTCACGTATCTTTCCCTTCACTCCCTTCACTCCCTTCACTCCCTTCCCTCCCTTCCCTCCCTTCCCTCCTTTCCCTCCCTTCACTTGGATATCTCGACTCCTCTGAAAGGTACAGAAATGTTGAAATCACTTAAAGTCCTGCCCATCCTAATCAGATTCACCCTATGTATCCTCATCCTCAATGAAAAAAATTCTCACGGCGGAGCAGCCCAACAATCATCTGGCGTGAGCTATGATGTGGCTGCCAGCAATGTCGCACAGATAGCAGGTGGACATCAGACCTCTCATTCGTCCAGAAGTGCATCTATCAAGGGTATTTTCTTATGTGACGCACGTCTTTCCCCTCCCCAAATGCTGGTGTACCCAAAGAAAGAAGAGCTTGGTCTTTCTCTCAAAGGACTAGGACGAGTACGGAGTAAGCTTGCATTGTATCTAAAAAGTGGTGTTGCTTTGCCAATCCAATAAATCTTGATAATATTAAAACCTTCACAACGAACAACTGATCTGATCGACGGTTCTTTGTACTTCATCTCTCATCTCGATCTCTTCAATCCTCTTCGTGAAAGAGAATCATTACAACGTCCCTATTTAATATCTGGTTCATCCTATCAGTTTTTGGTCCCGATAAGCCTTGTCGTTATCAGCCTTATCTGAACGACAACAACCTCCAAAATACTCTCGTTTTCGACGTCAACTTTGGATATACATCACCCAATTCATGCATCGTTGCGCAGTATAAGATCAAGTTGGCTCTCAGTATCACTTCACGACCTTCCAGGTACTATCACAATCCTTTTCCGTTGCAAGACATTCTTGGGTGAATAATCTTGTCGAGGAAGAGTTGTTTAGTATCAGAGCCAATTAATCATCTCTAAACAGGTACGAATCAACGTTCTTTCCTTCTCCCTTCCCTTCCCCTCTCTTCTTTTCTTTTCGTTTCGTTTCTTTCCTTTCCTTTCCCTTCCATCCTCTGCAAAATACTGCACATGTCGTCACTTGCTCTTCCTTCTCTCGGTGAATTATTTTGCATCTTGGTAGCATCCACGCTGCCGTACAAATCTCTGCTTGTTTCGAGAAGCTCCGAAAACCTCCCTCTTCGCCATCATTTCATTTACCTACTGTTCTCATTCTTCCAGACAGTCTCTCTGCTGTCTATGACCGGACACTCCCTCCTATATTCCATAAAGCAGTGATATCTTTCCTTTCTTGATCTCAATTACACATCGAACACCGGTAATGACAGCTCGCAGATTACTAGGTCAATATGGCAGACACCAAGACGTCAGTTGTCATTACATATTCCAAACCAGGAACTGCACCACCAATATATCTTGCCGGTTCCTTTCCTGAATCAGGATGGCAGCCTCGGGAGATGGAATATAAAAATGTTTCCAATGATCATTACGTGTTCTCGAAAGCTGTCGAAGTAGAGGAGGGCAAAGAATATCAATACAAATTCAGAATTGGTGATGGGGATTGGTGGATGTCGGATGAAGATGCTCCAATTGGTATGTGGATTATCCTCGTCTTTTTGTTTACCCTCTGTTTTTGTTTACCTCTGTTTTTGTTTACCCTCTGTTCCTGTTTACCTCTGTTCTTGTTTACCCTCACTACTTCAAACTTCCACAGCTTCGTTCATTACAAAATATGGTTGCCACATATGAAGCGAATTTCAATTGATTAATCCACTTTTCAATGCATGATAAATTAATTTTAATTTTTCGGATATTTAAATAACACTCATTTCTACAGTTGTCGATGACATTGGAAATCGAAACAACCTTCTTTCAGTTCCGATCAAATCATCTTCCCACAACAAGTCCTCTTTCGACGAAGAGAATTCAACTCCCCGCACAATACCCGAAACTGATATCAAAGCTTCAACAATGGATACCATAATTGAACCAACTCAACACACCGAGTCTGAAGACAAAGTTTCTGATAACCCAAATCTCGAGACAGTCACGTCAGTCAAGGATTCTCCGTTGGATCATGGCGTCGAAACCGAATCAGAGAAGCCCAAAGAGACGCATGAATCATCACTCCCTGTTGCCGAAGCTGGTCATGCAGTTGAGTCTGGAAAGGAAACTCCAGAACTAGATTTGTCTAGCGTGCCGGCCGAAGAGCTTGAAGTTTCAACTACCGGATTCGATGAACCGAAAAATGTGGAATCACATTCTCAACCAGTAACCGAGGAAGTAAAGACTGCTACCGCAGATCTCCCCGATACGTCAAGTGTACCAGTAGATGAGCTTGAAGTTTTAGATACTGAAATTGAAGAACCCTCAAATTCGGAGTCACATGCTCAAGCAGAGACTGCCAAGGAGTTGGAGACAACAACCACAGAAACTCCTGACTTGTATCCAACTCCAACCACCCAAGAGGCTAATGAGACCTCCAAGGATTCTTCCGCTAGTGAAAACAATGTGCCAGAGTCTAAGGAAATCACAAGCCAAGATGATGAGGTACCACATACCGAGACTAGTACAAAGCAAGACGAAGTTACAGAACAACAAGAAGAGTCTGCCCATTCCGCAATCGAAGAACCAAATTCTAGCGAGAGCGAAACAAAAGAAGAGGCTACGCTTATTCACGCCAAAGAGCCAGCGTCCATTCAGGAGCCTGTCACTAGCGAGGACGTGAATGATACCAAGGAAGAACCCGAAGCTGCCCACGTCGAAGAACCAACATTGGAGCCAGAAGAACATGCTAACAAGAGTGAACCAAAAGAAGAAGCTCATTCGGCAGTTGATGACGCTAATCTTGAGGAAAAACTTACGGAAGAGACCGAAGCAAGCAAATCACATTCTGAGCCCTTCATTTCGAGTCCAGTCATCGCCGATGAAACCACGGAGAAGGTAGCTGAGGAGCCCAAGGAGGAAAAACTAGAGAGCTCTGAGAATGATGCTTCCAATGCTGTACCTCCCAAGGAAAGTGTTGAAAGTGTTTCGGAAGATTCTGACTCTACGGAACAAGTGACTGCACAGGAAACTGACACTACACCTAAAGAAGAACAGCCAGTGTCTGAACCAATTGTACATGAGAAACCGATTGAAATCGAAACGGCCACCTCCATCAAGGAAAATGCGGCCCAGGAAGACTTCGACTCCAAAGCAACCGAAGTGGATGAAAACTCTGCTGTCGAAACATCGGTCGATGAGACGATTGAAGCACAACAGCCGGCTGATGAGATTGACTCTAACAGCAAAGAAATGCATGACCAGGAGGTTGTTCAAAAAGATGAAGCCGATGAACCGGTTGATAACACGGAAAGTGTTACGGAGGACGATGGCCATCCAAGCATCCCAACTGAAGTTGCATCGACACCAATTGTAAGTGTCGAGAAGGTTGATTCCGAGCCACGTCATGGCGACGATTTCGGGAGTGATGCAACATATGCGCAAAAGGACGCTCATACTTTACGTGCACAGGATGCTTCACCTGATCATGTCACCATCAAAGAGCAAGCTGGTACTCCAGACTTGGCTAATGTTGCTGCTGAGGTTGCGGACTCTGCTGAATTGCTTGATGAAACACCACCAACACCTCCCATGTCAGATACAGATGCTGGAAAGTCTGGGTATAGAAGACTCTCATATACACCAATCCCCGAGGTTGCAGCAACTGCTGCCGAAGTTGCCGATACAGCAGCTCACATTGATGATGATTCCAAGGTAGGTCGTCCACCATGCTTTTATACACGTATGTAAATTATTGACCTCTTTCACAGCCAACTTCGATTGAATTACCAGCTCCTCAGCGGGACTTCCTCCCACGTGGAGTTGACGATTTGGAGCGGGATTTAGACACGGAAACGCCATTCGAAGAGCGGGCACCACTTTTTGCTCATGAGTGCAATGGACCCCCTACCGCCGAAGAGCGTTTACAATACGAGAGTGCCCAGACTCGACTACCAGCTTCAGAGCCATTGTTCCGTGAATTTGATCCGAATGATCCTGGTCTCGAGCCATTCCCCAACAATTTTAATCAAATACTGGAGCATGTCAGAAGACTTGAAAATCATTTGAGCGAAAACCAGACAGATGCTGAAAGAAACCCACTTTCGCCTGTTACCACGAATGGCAATCATCATGCAACTGCCAGTTTAACAACCCCATCGCCACAATCGCTTGCACATGAAACCTCTCCGCTATTACTTCCAATTGTAGAAGAGAATGCTGAGGGCGAACCAGAGTCCAAGTTAACTGCTCTACCACCTAGTATGGAGGATTCTCAAGCTGATGGGAATGGTCCGGATGAAGCGAATGAAGACTCCAGTGAACAACAAATTGAAGCAAATGATGCCGAGACTTCCAAGAAAGATGTAGCAGAATTGTCCGAACCTGCAGCGATCGAAGCCTCCAAAAGCTCATCGCCTCAATTACCAGCCATAAATTTCCTCGAGGGTTCAAGTAAGCTCCGACCAGTTCTTCCAGATTTGCCTCCAACTCCTTTCGTGGAAAATAAATCACTTCATCTTGCTGAAGGCTCTGCAACCAGCTCTCCCGCCCCAGTTCAGGATAGCCCAAGCATCACAGTCCAGCCAGCAACTCCAGCTGCGAGTGTGAATGCAAATATCGACCAATCTGCCACAGAGGAGGATGCTGCTAAGACGACATCATTCGCTGATGGGGCTAATGAATCACAATTGAGAGCTCGTAAACAACCATCATCTAGTGCACCCGATAGATCGATTACCCCGTCTTCCATGCGTTCTGCCGGAAATGACGCCAAATCCCGCAATTTCCTCCGAGCATTTTTCCAGGTAGTATTTGTAGATTGGATTGGAGGATTGATTAGAAAGTTATGTGGTGGCGGACGTCACACGTAAGGATTTCTTCCTTTGGACTTGGTCTTTCCTTATTTTCTCACATGATACCCTTGAGTCTTCTATTATAACTTTGGACTCGCATCAAGCTGATCGGTACCTTTAACATGAAAATTAGGCTTATAGCCGTTCCTGCACTCCTCATCGTCGTTACTGCACCCATCCTGTACTTATCTGGCCTTGCCAATTTTGGTTTGGGTCTTAGCTCCTGAACACAATTGCTTGCTTGCTTGCAACGGAACGGAACGGATTATGTTTATTTCGCGAATTGCTCAATTTTAGATGGAAGGGGGAAGAGGGAGGGGAGGAGGTAATACAAGGGTGGAAAGGGTGATGAATGAATGAATGATGATGAATGAAAAGGGGTACGACGACGCAATCAATCATTGATTCATTGGTTCATTCATTTATTGACGGTTGGTGAAGGGAGTAGTCTTTTTTCCCGGAGGTTATTTACAACATTACATTGCATTGCATTGCAATGTATAGTAACCTAAGGTTCTTGATGCTTTTGGTACTTGAGGTAATTGAGTAGTCTAGAACCCGAATGAAAATGAAAATGAATTATGAATTATGAAATATTTTCTGTTTCAAGTTTGTGTGTGTAATTTGATTTTGGTACGAAGATGATGTAGAA